CATCGTCTTTAGTCCAACCGCCCAATGGGTGCAACAAAAGCACCGGATTCTTGAACTCCCGCTTTAGGAGCGTTTGTTTGGTTTCTTGCATTAGTAACGCGTGTCCGTTATGTATGGGGTTTCGCAACTGAAACGCAAACACGGCGTCCGCCTATCGGGTCGTAAAAACAGATGGTATTTAGTATTGGTTTCAAATGATTGACTAACATTTTCATTTCCTGTTGTATGAAGATTTTTAATGAATGGTCAATAAGTTTTAATGTTTGGTTGTTTTGTGGTTTTTCAATAACTAAAATATCTTTTAACATTTTAATTCTAACCCACTGTTTGCTCAACCATTTCATGCAATATTATATCCATTTATTAAATTTAAATTATTTCTCAAAATACTTGTATTAATAAATTCTTGTATTAACAAAATTATTAATAACTATTAAGAATAAATTCAATAATCTCACGGATTAATTAAATATTGGTTGTCAGACAAACAAATATAAATTGTCAAACATTTTACAAATAATTAAATGACAGAAAAATGAGATAAAATTCAGGATAAGACCGGATAACAGGGAAGCCGTCCACACATTTCCTTTCCATTTCTCCTTACATTCATGTCTTTGAGTCTCTTCTTGATCTGATTGGGTGTCAGCCGATAGTCATCGAGACCGTCGTTCCACGTGATCTTATTGAACACTTTGAGATCTCCTCCCACTAACCAATCGCCGCTCTCCTTACATTCATGTCTTTGAGTCTCTTCTTGATCTGATTGGGTGTCAGCCGATAGTCATCGAGACCGTCGTTCCACGTGATCTTATTGAACACTTTGAGATCTCCTCCCACTAACCAATCGCCGCTATCGTAGATCATCTTAATGGACGGATGGCCTCTGTTGGTCGTCTTGAACACCGCGGCCGCCCTCTCCTCCTTCCGGTGCGCGAAGATCTCGATGTCCTCTAAGATTGCGATCAAATTGTTTTTGTAAAGCAAACAAATATTCTTTGACTTTTCGATGCGCTCTTTGTTTTGGTCGTCAATCGCTAACACTATAGGAATGGTCTGGTTGTGAAGAGTCTCGTCGATTATGGCTCCGAAATGAAGGCATTGAAGGTATTGAGTCTCTCTCATGAAACCCTGTTATCATTGGATATAAGATTACCGTTTATTTAATGATTTAATTAAATTAATTGACAGATGGTGCTTACCTTCAATGGTGTGGCCCAACCCTCGGACAACACCTGAACCCATTGCAAGTCGATTGTCTCGATTTCAATGGATGGAAGCGATGAAGCGATCAATCGATAGTGACTTTGCTCTGCTTCAGGAATGAAGAGTTCGTGGATCTCCCGTATTATCTCCTCTGAGATTATTTTCTATTTGAAAAAAATATAAAAAAAAGTTATAAATATTTATTTAAAGAATTAAATTGTTATAAAATAATTAATTGTATAAATAATTTACATTCTTGACGAGAAGATCAATAACTTTATTAACGCAATCAGTGATGGAGTCTTCGCCGGCCTTTAAAACTAGATCCGGTTTCTCTGGGAATTCATATTTACTATCGATTCCCGTGAACTCCTTTATCTTTCCGGCCCTCGCCTTCGCATATAAGCCCTTCACATCTCTCTGTTCGCACACTTCGAGAGGTGTGTCGACAAACACCTCGAAGAAGGGCAGGTCTGCGTCTTCGTGTATTTTGCGGGCACTGTTGCGGTCGGCGGCGAACGGACTGATAAAACTGGTCAAAGCTATAGCGCCCGCGTCGGCGAAAAGTCGGGCCACTTCTCCGATGCGGCGAATATTCTCAGTCCTGTCGTCCGAACTGAAGGCCAAATCCTTGTTCAGACCGTAACGTATATTATCGCCGTCTAAGGCATACGTGAAGATCTTGTTTCGGCACAAAAAGTCTTCGATACCGAACGCTATCGACGTCTTCCCGGCCCCCGACAGACCTGTTTAGTCAAGAGATTTGGCCATTAGTTACGCCAAATGAAAGTGATTTAATGCTGAGAATGGATGGACAGACCGGTGAACCAAACGGTACATCCCCTGAATCGACGACCGCTTCCGAGGATTTCTCCCCGTTTTAGTCGCGAGACGTGATGTGATTGGAAGAAGACATTTGTCGCGAACTTTTCCATACAATCCATGGGTTTTATAATTAAAAAATAAATTTTTAAATTAGTCTCACTTTTTGGTGTTAAGCGTAAAAGTGAATGAAATTTTGAGGTTAAATAATCAGGAAATTTATCAAAAGTGTTTTTTATGGAAATTTGTTTAATAAATATTTTTTTCTTTATTTTGATAACCCGTTAACCCTTAAGGGCTTAACTCATGAGAACATTATTTATCACTATTTTCTAATTTATAGAAAAATATTTTCAATTTTTTTAGGAATTTTTTCGTGAATAACAAGAATATACGCCAAATAATTACCTGATTTGATGTCTTGTCCATTGGTTTCAACGTTTATTACAGTGTATTCTCACTAATAATCGTTTGATTTTAGTTTTTAAATTTAAAATATATATAATCTGTAACAATGATCGCAACAATTATTCACTAAAACGGTGTATATAATAAAAAATCAGATAAAAACAATTTAATGCCATAGATAAATATGCTAACCAATCACTTCCTATTTTTTGAAAAAACTACATGAAAACGAAGTTAATTATTAAATATATTTTTATATATATAAATAATATACCTTTTGCTAATTATAATGATAATTTACCCATTAATTAATTAATAAATAATTACTGTTATTAGTATATGTAAAAACAGATGGAAAGTTCATATATTAAGTTGTATTGACATACAGTGTATATAAATTCATGTGAATTTATACATTTAGATCACAATTAGATTTTTGAGCCAAATGTGTGGCTCTGTTTGCAAAACAAGTTAATATATCAAAAATGATATAGATGTTTATGAATCAACAAATGAGCATGTATATATTGCACACAAAATATAACATAGGGCACAAAATTAACCCTATTACATACACAGTTATAGATTGGTTGATGAGTTTTGTACTAAAACATGCACTTCTAATACGGTAGGAGTGATACGAATATACGTCAAAATTGCTCACAAATTAATGCTCAAAGAATATATAAATGTAGAAATATTGCTACGAAATAACACAAACTCAATGACAACTCAATATATTTAATAATATTATGTATTACTTGATTCAATACTAGAGCCACACGTCTATCGTTGAGTAGATATAGTGAGCAAATGATACGATAAGACATCTGTCTATACCTTATATACAGTGCGAGCGATACTTTAGCGCACATTCACATCATGTATGCTATGGTTAACTTATTTAGCAAACAATGTTCATCTCAGCAAACATTTGGTGCTTTTAGACACAAGAATATGTGCCCAGAATTACACTAAAACACCATGGTCGTTTGTGTGCGCAAAATGAACCAATTCCTCGCCGGATATAACGTTATGCATTTCAATCGCAAATATTTAGTTTAACTGTTTATTAGTTATTGTTTTAATGAGTTGTCAATTTTTAACGACAATTTATTGTTTAGTCTTTTGGTATAAATTATGAGAATCATTGATAAGAAACAAAATATTATTACTCTATTCACTCTTTTATGGGCAAAACTATCGTTAAAAGCGTTCATCCGATATCCGTATCTCCATAGTTAGTCAATTAACATGATTAATTTTATAATTGTGCTATTAATAGGTATAATAAATACAAGTACATCTGTCTCATTTAAATATTATCAAATAAACAGTTAACATATCGATTGATATCTTGTATATCATTTCAACATGAATAATTTAATGATTAATTACAAAAACAATAAATTGCAAACTTTGGAATATTTCAAACATGTAGAATATTTTTACAAATAATTAATTTTTTTGCGATTAAGTTATAACTTTTAATTTAAAAGTACATTATCTGTTTTAATAATTGAATTGTAATTACACTATCGATGTATATGTAATTTATAATAAATTGTCTGGTAGTATAAGCATTAGCCTTAGGTATTAACCCTCATTATATTAATAAATTAATACTTTATAATTATTATGATCATTTCATTTTTGTTTCAATGATAAATATTTGTTATAGAAATATAAAAACAAGAAAATAAATTAATTTAAAAATCATGTTCATTATTAAAATATATGAACATTTAAATGAAAACAATTTGTGCATAAATATGCAATGTTGCCAGTATTTTACCTAAAGTGTATAATACAATTGTATAATCTAGAACATTAATTTTACTATTTATAATTATTTTATATTTTTATTATTAATTTTATAATTTTCGATTTAATTTATTCACAATTTTTCTATAAAGCAAGATTTTTAAAATTTTTGAAAGTAACATGATCAATCATGATTCGTGATTCATAAATTATAAATCATAATGAACAAATCTAATTTAGAGTAATTATAAATTTACATTTCTACTGTAGTTACTATAAAAATTTATAAAATGTTTTTATTATTGTTTAAAAATTGTTTAAATATAATAAGCTAAAATTATTTCTACAAACATAAAAGTAATTGCAATTTGTTTGTTTTAAAGTTACAATAATGATTGATTTTTATTAGTAATCAGATTTAGATTAAAAAAATTTTTCCATTAATTGTAACATTTATTCTCATTTATTGATAATAGGGATTAAAATGCAGTGTTAAGTCATTTGATAACAAAATATAATATTACGTTACAGTACTGAACAGATAATATTGTGTTATACACAGTGTTATAGATTATAGTGTTATGTGCACAATAGTGTAATAATTTGTACAAATTTCACAAATTATTGTGGTATGAAATAAAAATCTGTATTCAATTTTAAATTATAACAATTTTAAACAAATATATTAAATAAAATTATAACATATATTGTACGGTACATGTAATACAGTATAATCTAAATATAGACTGTTCGAGCAATCAATGATATATTGCGGGAATTGCAGAGACATCTAAAGTATTGTAAATTACAATTTGTAATACTAAACTGTTTAAATTAGTTTAGTAATCATGACTTTGAAAAATGCCAAATTTAAATAACTCTCTCTCTCTCTCTCTCTCTCTCTCTCTCTCTCGAACTTACTTTCGCTAACAAATGGACTTTTATTTATATAACAAATGTTGACAACTGTATGGCTTTAACACACGTTTATGATCAGCGCATTCGCGTCACACTTCTTGTGTCCGCCCAACCAATGCATACCATATGATTAATCTAAATATTTTCATTTGAATGATTGCACACATAAATACATACACAACTACTCTCTAAATTGCATGAACTTACTTTCGCTTAACTTATATTTATTACCAAATAAATCGTCATAAATTCAAAACAACAAAAATAGGATTTAATGAATTAACAAATAGATTGTGATGTACTGATCCTTAATTCACATGAAGGTAATTGTTGTGACAGAAAAGTCTGTTAAAATTGTTATAAACAAAAAAAACTGATAATAAATCACGAGAAATACAATATTACTATTGAAAAGATTATTATTTAGAGTGCAGTAGAAAAAGACAAATAAACACTAATTGGGAATTATTTATTTGAAAATTTCATTCAATTCTGCATAAAATTCCGCAAACATTTTATCAGTCAATATGAGTGTTGTGTGTGTTTCCTGATATGCATATGTGAAACGTTGTGTGATTATAATTAAAGATACATTTAATACGAGTAAATCCTATGTTATTATGATTTGAATGTCCGCTTAAAAGTGTGGAGCGAATGAGCGAAGAGATCGTTGCGACAAATGTATGGCAAATCTCAGTGTGTATTCTGGCGTAAGGTATGAACGATTCCGGCGTCCATTCATATGGTATGCATTGGTTGGGCGGACACAAGAAGTGTGACGCGAATGCGCTGATCATAAACGTGTGTTAAAGCCATACAGTTGTCAACATTTGTTATATAAATAAAAGTCCATTTGTTAGCGAAACACACATTTTCCCCCAGTTTTCCGGAGTTTTGGTTATAAAATTTGTATTAACTTTTTAATTTCATACATTGTTTTATATTTTCAATTTTTAAAATATTGTATTTGTGTTCAATAAACTCAATACTGATCGACCAAAATGTGCGGTAAGTTATCGTTTACTGACAGTTATTATATGTATTCATTGATTCTGTAGATAATATTCCCTTTTGTTTAGCGTATAGAATATTCTCTAATTAATTTTTAATTGTAATTGCCGTATATATAAAAATTTTAATTATATTTATGTTTTGAAATAATTAAAAATGTCTTATATTACTTGTTGTATATCAAATATGTCTTAAATGGTTAGAATTATAGCATTTATTATAATATTATATTTCAAATAATAAATGAGACAACAAAATGCTAATATTTAATATGAGTATTCATGCGTCCCATTCACTCAATAGTAATATTCCCGCAAAAAATGGTTAATTTTGTTGAATTTGTTGGGAATAATTGTAATTATATTTTGTAGTCATATTCAAGCATTTAATTTTAACTATAATATTAGGTCATCGCTCGAGACATTCTTATGCCGTATATATTTCTCTCTCGCCATCCCTTAAAGGCATGTCTTTTTAGTGTGATTTGAGAGATAAGTTTCAGGAATACATATCACATAAATTGTAAGACAAGAATTTTGCTCAAAAATATGCGTTTTTTAAACTTATAATCCAATGTTGAAATAAATTTTGTGTTTTAAATCTCATTTTGAATCCAAAAAACAAGTTTTTGGAAATGAATTTCTAAAACAAAACATTTTTAATTTGATTCGTGTTATGATATATAGGGTTTAATTATCGACACTTTCAAACCAGTGTTGTATTTCATCCATAAAAATATTTTTAGTGTTTTTTGTGTTCAAAAAGCAATTAAATTTTGATCGAAATATTGTTAAAACGGTTGTTAATTAAAGACTGCTTCAAACGTTAAAATCTATTATTAATTAATAGTCAATGCATTGAATAATATAAAAAATATCCGCTAAAAACTCATATGTAGGACAAGGAAATCATTTAAATTCCTATTATATTTATATCCAGTAATCAATTTGTATTAAAAAATTATAAATACATAAATTATAATCCTGTGAAAAATAAATTGAGTGTCAGTCTGGTATCGGATCTGAAGGTATGATTTGATTTATTTTCCAAATTCATAAGTAATTCAAAGATAAAAAACTAAAAGTGAAAATAAGAGATTATATAAGAATTAAGTATTGATTGACAGTAAGACCACTGATTTCTTCTCAACATAAGCACATACCATGATCAATTTATTTTAATGACTGACCCATTTTTAAAATACCTAAAGATCTTGATGTTTACCAATTCACCATGACATAAGTTTAATGTTGTGTAAACTACATGTACTATTGCATATTCATAACTATAGAATTTAATTTATACTTAAAATGTCCATATAATGTAAATCTTAACTAAAAATAATAATAATATTTACATTTACTTTTATAGGAATCTTTGCATACCTTAACTATTTTGAACCAAAAACTCGTCGAGAAATACTTGAATTCCTTATCAAAGGATTACAGCGATTAGAATATAGAGGATATGATTCGGCGGGTATTTCATTGTTATATCACGTTATGTATAGATTGGTATATAAAAAGTGTTAATCGTTGCTAATAGGGGTGGCATTTGATTTCGATGACGGAAACATTGAGATCATACGTAAGCCGGGAAAAGTGCGAGTCCTGGAGGGCGCCATTTGGGACCGACAGGATTTCGATCTCGATTACAAACATGACGTACACATCGGTATAGCGCACACCCGATGGGCCACTCACGGCGCCCCCTCCGAGCACAACAGCCATCCCCAGCGGTCTAATGATAACAACGACTTTGTTGTGGTTCACAATGGGATTGTCACCAACTATAAGGACATCAAACAGTTCCTGGTATTGCACACATACACCAGATATTTTGCGCAAATTATCAATTAAAAATGTATGCAATAAAATGTCTAATTGTTATGCTTTTAATCCATAGATCAAAAAGGGATATACCTTTGAATCGGATACCGATACCGAAGTGATCGCTAAGTTTGCGAATCATATCTACAACAATCAGCCAAACCTAAAGTTTAGGGAATTAGTGGAACACGTGATCCAACAACTCGTATGATAACAATTATAAATGAATTTTTTGCACTCATTTATAGTAAGATTTAAATTAATCCAAATATTGATTGCATATGTGTTGCACAGGAGGGGGCGTTTGCCTTGGTATTCAAGAGCAAGCATTATCCGGGACAGTGTGTGGTCACCCGACGAGGCAGTCCCCTCTTAGTGGGCATCAAAACTAAAACAAACCTTATTTCAGATCACATTCCCATTATATATAGCAGTAAAGGTATGAATGAATGTGTTTTACATCCCGTTATCGTTGTTTATATCATAAATTGCATCAAATATTTTGTTTTCCTAAATATTAATCTAAATATTTTCATTTGAATGATTGCACACATAAATACATACACAACTACTCTCTAAATTGCATGAACTTAAACTGGGTTGTTTTTTGTTTGTTTGAAATGTTACCATGATAACTATATAGAAGTTAAAAAAATGCCACTTTCGGCAAAGAACTCTTTGGGAGAGGACCGCTGGGACTTACGGTCTCCTCTCAGCCGACAGAATAGCATTCAGATAACTACTACTGATGACAACGAAGGTATTGGTTAAGACTTTTTTAAAAATCCGTTAAATGTCATCAATGTTTTCTATTTTATGGGCACTTATTCTGTCGACAAAACAACTTCTTCTCTCAAAATGCACTCAATTGTTACCAAATTAGTGTGATTTGCAAAAGTGTATGCGTTTGACTCTCGCGTATAGCCGGGACACTCTTAGCTGTAGTTTGTTTTTTTGTTGCTATTTATTTACATTTTACTGCTTTTCGTTTTGTTTCCTCAATTCATATAATTCTTTGCTGTTTTCGTGTGATTCCTGTTAACCAAAAACATTCCGGTCGTGTTCTTCACTGTTAACCACAGACACTAAAAAGGGATGTAAAGACAAATTCCAAGGTATATATGCCTATCTATGCCTTCTGTATCTCTATATCTCTGTCTCTCATAAACTATCCATATATTGCTATATTCTGTATATATTATACATGTTTGTTGGGCTGCGGAACAGTTGCGGTATATTTTTATATCATATCTATCGTTTTATATGATATTTACTAATCCATTGCATGTTATCTATCTTACGATATATACTGTATATATTGTTTAATTTAATATAATTAATCAAAACATAAAGATTATAGCGTAGAAAACAAACCAAACTTGTTTAACAAATATGTGGCTGATTATAGATCTGCATCCGAGGAATGGCCTGTCGACGAGTGCTGTGGTCGGCGGCAAACTGGCCCGAAGTCAGTCCACCACACAATTTACGCCATTAAATGACGACAAAGTGGTCGAGTATTTGTTCGCATCCGATGCCAGTGCTATCATTGAACACACAAATCGTGTCATATATCTGGAGGACGACGACGTGGCCTCAGTAGAAGAAGGCCGTAAGTATACACACCATAAATGCCCGACCCTTTTGATAGCATACCAATAGTAATATTCACATGTACTGTATGTAGAAGTTTTGGGTGAAATTTTTGATATTTTTCTCCAAACACTTTCTATATTTAGTTTTTAATGCAAACAAATAATTTTAAAAAAAAGTTTTTGTTTATGTAATCTTGTTTTGACGAGTATTTTCAATGCATTACTTTATTTATTGTATATGTAATAGATATCCAGATTATAGCTAACAAATATTTGGTGTCGGATAGATATGTAGATTTATATTTCGTCTACACTTCTTACCATTAAATGGTATTTAAACAAATTTTGTTTGTAAATGATTCTCGCATTTAATTCACACAACTTTAAGGTTAAAGTGTTTGTAATGCAATCCCTGTAACAATACTCACAATATTATGACTACTATAAACCTACACATTATTTCAAATTGCATTCACTGTTGATATACAAGTTTGAAATTCAAACTTTGAATGAGAAATATAAAAGTTGTATAAATACTATTTATTTTCATTGAATACCAGTTCTGACAATACATCGACTTAAGCGTACATTAGATGACTCTTCACTGCATCGGGAGATCATAACACTGAAGCTGGAGATCCAGCAGATAATGAAAGGCAACTTCAACTCATTCATGCAGAAGGAGATCTTCGAACAGCCGGAGTCTGTCATCAATACGATGAGAGGAAGGGTTAACTTCGAGAACGAGGCCATCATTCTCGGAGGGATCAAGGATTACATACCGGAGATTAAGCGGTGCCGGCGTTTGCTGCTAATCGGCTGCGGAACCAGTTATCACAGCGTTATCGCCGTTAGTATTTTTCCTGTCGTATAAACTTTTGGGATTAGAAATATGTTTAAAATATTTGTTTGCTGTCCAGACGCGACAAATACTGGAAGAGTTGACTGAACTGCCGGTGATGATAGAGTTGGCGAGCGATTTCCTCGACCGAAACACACCCATCTTCAGAGACGACGTGTGTTTCTTCATCTCGCAATCGGGCGAAACGGCCGACACTTTAATGGCGTTACGGTATTGCAAACAGAGGGGCGCTCTGATTGTGGGCATCACTAACACTGTGGGCAGCAGTATATGCCGTGAGAGCCACTGCGGCGTTCACATCAACGCCGGACCCGAGATCGGCGTCGCCTCCACTAAGGCCTATACGAGTCAATTCATATCTTTGGTGATGTTTGCGCTCGTTATGAGCGAAGACCGTATATCACAACAGCCCCGACGCAGCGAAATCATACAGGGGTTGAAACGACTGCCCGATCAGATCAAACAAGTGCTCGAACAGGACAGTCATGTACTCGACATCGCCAAAGAGCTCTATCAACAGAAGTCTCTTTTGCTTATGGGTCGCGGTTGGAATTACGCAACTGTGCTTGGTAAGTTGCAATTAATTTCAATGTATATTGGTTCAAATAACTAATGTATTTACTTTTGTATTTTTCCAGAGGGAGCGCTGGTATGCATTCGGCTTATTATAAAATTAAATATTGAATTTAGTATAATTAAATTTAATTAAAACTTAAAATTGTATAGAAAATCAAAGAGTTAACTTACATGCATTCGGAGGGCATACTCGCCGGTGAGCTAAAACACGGACCGCTGGCCCTCATTGACAAACAGATGCCCGTAATAATGGTGGTCACCAGAGATCCCGTGTATGTTAAGTGTATAAACGCATTGCAACAGGTATTTCAATCAGCAGTTAAAAGTATATATTGTTAACAATAAGTGCTAATTATGCGGATGTGTCCCATAAGGTGTTGGCGCGCGACAGTCGACCTATCATTATATGCGAAGACACGGACACCGAGACCCAGAAGTACGCGTTCCGGTCGCTGAAGATCCCGCACACAGTCGACTGTTTGCAAGGAATCCTATCCGTCATTCCTCTACAACTACTCTCATACCATATCGCAGTCCTCCGCGACTGCAATGTCGACTGTCCCCGAAATCTGGCCAAATCTGTTACCGTTGAATAACCGGTTCATTCCAGTGGACACACAAACACACGAAGACAATTGGATTCAATGAAAATACATTCAACTAAAAACCATTTTTCAAAAAAAAAAGTTTTATTTTGTTTTCTTAACTTTATTTTCTATTTTATTATTATATTTTTGGTCTATTTTTTATTACATCGCGATTAATATTTTATAAATTATTGCTTTTAATTTATGAAATTATTTTTAAAGAAATACATTATATTTTTGTTATAAAATAATAAAAAGCATTTTAAGGGTTTTTATGTGTGTGTCTATAGTTGTCAATAATTATATCACATTATCTGTTGGGAAGTTGAGGTGTATTTGTGGCCAAAAAGTGTGACTCAAAAAGCATTTGTGTCAAAAAACAACAGTTATTTTAGATACTTATCGATAATCTCGTTGTCAAACCAATTCATGTCAATCTGGAGGTGATCTCCGATCACTTCGTACTCGCGAAGGCGTCCGCTTGTGTCCAACTCTTTGAGGCCCAACCAGTCCTCCTTATAGAGAGCCGAGTCTCGCATTTTGTAGACACTTTGCGCCTGATTTGGCGCATAAAAGCCAAAGAGAGACGACTCTCTCGGCTCTACCATTGAGTCGTTTAGGAATTTAACCAAAACTAAGTTCTTGAGCTTCAGAAGGCGTGCCTTATAGTCGGCGTTTCGGGGAATGTTCTCGTTGTTGATGTCGGCCAGGAATACACTCCTGTTTTTGTAGATGTCCTCCTGGAGCGGGTCGTGCCAGTACTGGCCATACAATACAATACAATACACATTATTATTGTGACTAATAATTGTATTCAATGTTTATTAGCGTTTGTTAACTATACCTCCGCCTGAACCACATGGGACTGGACGTAGTCTTCATAAGCGCCGTAATTGAGTAGTTTTCGGACCAAATCGCAGATCCGATTCTGTTGTGGACATCGCGGCAGACCATAGACTCCTTCAATGTTATCGACACACATGTGATATACAAATCATAATTTAGTTTAACATCTTATGTAGTAGTAAACATAATTGCAAACATGATAACAATGAGTGCCAAATACCCTGATGCTGTCCTCCAAGACTGATTAAATTGTTGATCTGAATGGTGGGACACCTCTGAGCGATGGCCCGCAATATCTGTCCGCCCTGTGAGAAGCCGATGGCGTTGAAGCCGTTGGCCAATTTGCCCATCCGGACGGACAGTACGTAAACGCCGGCGATCTTCGCCTCCAAATACTTCTGCAGCGAATAAATACTTCCGTGAGATGTGTCGCCCATTCCGTGGTAGAAGACAATCGGCGTCGGATCCGTCGCCTCCCTGTCCTCCACACCGACCCGACGGCCATCGATGGCCGCAAACGCCAAACACATCACAATTAAAACCCTTTTCATAATTGAATCCACTTTTTTGGTGCAAAAAAACTTTTGGCCAAACTTTGTGTCCAGACTTTTGTCTCGCTTTATATCCGCTTAACGTTAACCACAATTAGCGCTGAATTTAGTGTTAATTATTGTAATAATTGTTGCGATTATTATGACTGAAATGTGAGACCAAATGACTTGTGATATCACTATTTGTTGATCACATGTTGTGTTTTCGTATCAAATTGTAAACAAAAGTTTTGGCATTTGTTTTGTCACCAAAAATGACTGCAAGTCTTGTGCGAAATGGTGTTCATTATAGCGGACACATGTCTGTAGTTGTGGTCACTTATAGACAGTATTGTAATAATCATTGAATCGTCGGTTAGTTTAGAGTAAATGACAAATTAATGGCTTAATTACCGACCGATTTGTGGCCAGAGTTTGATTGTTTGAGTCAAACCCAGCGCTTAAAGGGGGCGCAAAATAGTGTCACAGTGTTTATGAACGGCTCGTTTTGACAACACTTTCGGCGCAATTATTCGAGCGAACAGTCATTTGGTGTCAACTTTTGGTTCAGTTTTGCAAACAATTGTCTCAATTGTGTCCACAATTGGCCACAAAATATGGTAAATATAGTTATAATTACAATACAAATGACTGAATGACTGATACAATGATCGGATCCTTTCTTTATAGTCGAAGAAAAAGGGATTGAGTTTCGAGGAGAAGAGGACACGAATGCTGGAACTGTTCCACGAAAAGGTCGGTCTTTGCACTCGTCATCCATTTGTCTCATATGTCTTGTAATGTCTTGTATTTGTTGGCCACTCCTGTGATGGCACAGAAGGAACCGTTTCTACTGAAAGAGTTGGAGAAATTGGGACCAAAGCTGAAGGGAGTTGTGATGCAATCCGTCAAAGAGATTGTGCAGTCATTAGTGGCCGACGATTTGGTAGAGACCGACAAAATCGGTTCCTCCACTTACTTCTGGTCGTTTCCATCCAAAGCACTCAATTCGGTGACCACTCCAACCATTGCTGCCATTGTTTCCCCAATTGTTGTCACAATTGTCTCATTGATTGGTATTTGTTTCTCTTTAACGTTGCTTATCTCCTAGACTTCCGCTTCTAGCGCCTGTGTTTCGTCTTCTGTGACTATTAGCTACGCCTCGAGTTCTTTCACCTCCAGAGCCGCCGCCTCCGGCTCCGGTCCCTATTCCGGCTCAAAGAGCTGCGCGCACTCACGGCTAAGCGCGACGCTGAATTCCAGGCAGACCTTCGCGAGTTTCTAACGCTAGGTTTTCACTGCCTTGTCGACGTCTTTCTAACATGCCAGCGATTCCTCCGGCAGTTAGCTACCTGTCCAAACGGCAATAATACACTAATCAATTGAGTTGTGATTGATATCTGTTTGTTGTTTGTTATGGTTTTGTCCCGAAGACAACGTATTTCTGGTGAAGTCGTGGTGTAAAGAGAAGTTCAATCTCGAGGACGCGGAACTCAATAAGCAGTTCGATATCCCCGAAGACTTTGATTATCCCGAATGACCGGTCATTCAACTAATATATGATTACTTTTTTTGTTGTAAACATTTCTGATTTCTATCTGTTTGTATAATTGAAATACTCTTTTCCTGTGTATTAATACTGTATTTATTGATTAATTGATTTCAAAGTAAATATAATTTGTAATTTGATTAACTTTTTGGTTGTTTTTATGGCGTATACAAACGCCTTATAAAATAAAACTTTTTATGAAAATAAAGGACAATAAACGTCTTTAATAAAAATATGAATTTTATCAAAATCAAAAGATATTAATTAACGTTCAATAAACAGTTTATGTCATTTTAAGAAGTAGTATTTTTAATGCATTTGTTTTTGTGATATTTGTTTACTGCTGTGTAGTGTTTACGTGCAGTCTATAAGTGTTGAGATTTGATTGTCTAAATTAAATTACTGAGCACTCTATATCTTTATTAATGTAATGTTTGTGTAATATGTTTACGAATAAATATTGTTAACAATAGTAATATTTTTATGTCAGTTAAGTTTGATAAATTGAACATAATGCCAAGTATTGTAATACAATTGTTGAACTATACTATCATATCTATTGTATAAATTATATTTTGTTTAAAGTCATACTTTTATTATTTCTTAAATCAATATTAATTTACGAAAGAGTTCTCAAAGTGTAAAAATATTTCTCATACACCGGTTATATAACGCATAACTGTATGTACAATGAGGTGGGAGAGGGAGAGCACCCACAACACAGGCGCACACAAACCTATTCCTCGAGTAGTAGTCGCGCTGTAGAGAGAAGAGGAAAAACGGTTCGCAAAATAGCTCTTTAAAAGCCTTATCTATTCATTTGGATGGAGTCCTTGTGTTTGATGTGAAGCCAAGTAGTAGTAGTAGTGGTGGTGAAGGAGGCAAAGGAATTGTAAAAATAGTTTTTTATTATTATTTCTATGTCTTGGGTCTGAATAATCAGTTTTTCGCAAAGTATTGAAGTGTTGGCACAACTTTCTAACGCGAAACTCGATATACACGGAAAGGGGGGGCCGAAGAAAGTGACGTACGGATAGCGTGTCTTAAAGCCATAGGAATAGGAATATTGGGCCAAAGATTAGTATTTTATTTTTGTTTTGTGGGTTAAGGTGTGTAGAGTGTGTGCGCGCATCCGTCTGTACCCCAGACTATAGAGATGATGAGCCCTACCGGAGCCGTCCAACAGATTGTGTCAAATGTTAACGATCTAACGTTGGGTTCGGTCGACAGTCTCCGAGCGCTAATGACACGGTTGGGTGTAATGCAGACCATAGACTGGACGACAATGCTTCTCATATTTTGGGTCCTTTTCGCACTTATTGTCTATTCTGTGGGCAATATATTAGTGGTTGTTATCAACAAACGAAAGCAATTAAACGAAACCGTTATCAGTGACAGAGACAACAGTTGTGTCAACGAAACGATCGCTAAAACTTCTGTGGGTTTCGATAATAAGACAAATGACTCGAAAAAGTCTAATGTGGCGAACGGTCCGGACAGGGATTGTGTTCAATGGGTTAACCATATTATTCAATGGTTTTCCGCACAAAATGATACGGTCTTCGGCTCTATGTTTGACATTTGGTTGAATTCACTCAACACTCAAAGTAAAAAACTATCAAAAGATGTGAGTTTTTTATTTGTATTTTTTATTTTCAAAATATTTTGACTAAAATTAGTTCAAAGAAAAAATTATTTGTTTTATTAATTTGTTTAAAAGTTATTGAATTTTGATTTATAACAGTAAACATGAACTCCCGTTTTTTATTTGTATTTTTTATTTTCAAAATATTTTGACTAAAATTAGTTCAAAGAAAAAATTATTTGTTTTATTAATTTGTTTAAAAGTTATTGAATTTTGATTTATAACAGTAAACATTAACTCCCGGAGTGTATTACTTGATTGAGTGAAACCATTATAATTGTAGTTTATTTGTATAATTATTTGTATAAAAATTGAAATGTCATTCATTTGTATTGAGATAAAAGTTATGAACAGAAAAATCTAATTATAGATAAGATATTCAAACAGATTCTTACTCTTTTATAATTGTAGTTTATTTGTATAATTATTTGTATAAAAATTGAAATGTCATTCATTTGTATTGAGATAAAAGTTATGAACAGAAAAATCTAATTATAGATAAGATATTCAAACAGATTCTTACTCTTTAAGAATATACAGTAATAATCACTTTATTTAATCAATGAATCGTTTTTATTCAAGAAATCCCTAAATGTTTGGTTTGAAATAAATCTATAAATAAGTTTTTTGGTGTGTATTTTGTAAATACATTGTAAATGTAGTGTAAACTTATTCTGAATAATTATTACATTAGGTTTTTATGTTATTTTTTATGCATATATTCAGGTTATAAGGATGTAAGTTATGTGTTATGCGAGCTTATGGTATGCTTTCACACAAATATGTGATCACAAATAGTTTTCTTATGAATACTCAATAAGAATATCTACAATTCAATAGAAATATATTTATAAATATTAATTTATTTGTTTTATTATCTAGTTGTAAATTACATAACTTTTTGAATATATTAATTATTAAATCATGTAACTTATTGAGTTATTGATTGAATCATATATATTTAGATAAATATCATACCGAAAAGTTACGTTAAGAACCTCAACACAGCCCTCTTTTCAAAACGCGGCCTTAACAGATTACAATACCAGCTATTCGTCAGGTTGCTATTATAGCATTCAAACTTACAAGTTTTTCCCCAAACTATCTCTAAATATATATTTCATGTTTTGAGTTCGCGTTGAAATTTTTCCCTAATGTGTGTTTCAAAAACTTATCGCATGTTATAATATGTGATGTGTTTTCTGACAAATTAATTCA